CACGCCTGTATGTGTCGCTGAAGCTTCTGTAGCAGCTTCTGTAATAATGCTAATAAATGTAATGAGAGGAGTAAATAACACGTTAATGAAAATTTAAAATATTTGTGTATACGTACGTAGAAAATAATTTGTAACATGTAAAGTATTAACATTAACCAAGAGTTTTGTGGAAAAACCCGTGCACATATGTGTATGTCAGTTACGTATGTATAAGCGTGTGTATGAGTGTGTGGTGCATGATATGAATGAATAAATTAAATAAAATCACTTGGTAAATATTGTGTGCGTGTGTGTGTGTGTGCGTGTCCTCACAAATACGAAACAAATAAAAGACTTGAAACAAACATGGAATTTTTTTGTTTTTATTTTTTTTTCTTCCTCTCTCTCTCTCTCTCTCTCTCTCCTCTCTCTCGCTCTCTCTCACTCTTTCTCAAGCTCTTGCTCCTTCTTTCTTTTCTACTAAACTAAACTGAAGTATTGCTCGAGTAGTAAATGAGGGGCAAAAAAATATTGATTAAATCACTACTTAAGAAAAGAGTTCAATAATAGTAATAATAATTAAAAATAGATAATAATAATAATAACAAAAAATATTATTATTATTAATATTAAATATTAGATTGTAGAAAAAAAGTAAATAATACAACGAAATCGGGTATAATTTCTTTATAATATAAAGCATATATATATATATATATATATATATATAATAAGTGTAGATAAGATATAACTATATATATATATATAACTATATATATATATAATACATATACAATATAATATAACATAGTATATATAATATATATATATATACAACACATAGATATAACACATATGTAGATATATATCTATGTATAATATATAACGTATGTATAATAAAAAAAAAGAATCACCATTTTTCGAAAAGAAAATAGCGTAAAGTGAAATCAGGTAAATGTATAACAAACAAGGAACTCTCAGTTCGCGGCCCTACCTACCTACCCCCAACATACCTAATCTTTAACCACCTACCTACCTACCTATCTCTTCACCATCACATCACCACATCATCTTGTCATGTGTGCATATGCCTATGTGAATGTGTGTGTGTGTGACTCATTCCACTACTACATTGCATATTACCCCCTAATCATCGCCACTAAACAACAATAAATTGACACTCCGTTCTAACAAATCAATCGATCAATCAATCTACTGAATGTTCGACTAATTAATTGATTACCCCTGTGAACCTTTCAAATCAATCGATGTTTACAATAGCAGTGCCATCATTATTAACCTCACTGTAGTAACAACCAGTCACAAGCTGACAATCACACCTACCTACTTACCTACCTACCCTACCTAGCATACTTATTTACTAACGAAAACGGTTCACTTAACACTAACAAAAAAACAAAATCTGTAGTTGGAACGGAACCCTTCCTCCCCCTTAGGCAATGTACAGAGTATTCAGCACCAGCACATGCTGGTTGTTTTTAGCAAGAGTAACAATGTAACCTTCAGAAGTTATCTTAAGACCACAGCATCGACTGACTTTTACGTACGGACACTCGAACTCTCCGATCAGCGATCCGTCTCTCTGAAAGACGGCCACATGGAAGCGATTTCCATGGCTGTCGCCGATGAGTACGTCTCCGGCGTCGCTTATGTCGATGCCGTTCGGGTAGTTGGTTATTGTCTCACAGCCAATCCTATGTAGGAACTGTCCGTCCTCGTTGAAAACCACGACACAGTGTCCCTGTGAATGTTCATTTGTCTGCTTGTTTGTCTGTTCGTTTGTTTGTCTGTCTGTCTGTATGTTTCTTGTAAGGTTAAATAATTTTCACTGCAGGAAAGAAATGATTAAATCACCATCACAATGTCTTAATCACAAATTCTACAGTTTAAATATAGGAAGAGTAAATAAAGCAAGTCAACATATTAGAAAAACTGACATTTCAAAATTTGCCTATTGTTGCTGATAGAATATGAAAGCAAAAATTACACCATCTATGATTCTCACTGTCAGTCAAAAATGAAATCAGGAAGAAGACTTATGTGATCATTTGATTGTATTACTTTGTTTGTCTTTCTCAACTGTATATATATATTGGATATATATATATATATTGAATTTGAATTAATATATATATATATATAACTTGTTATAATATAACCATCCTATTCTTCACTATCACGTTGTGTAATTAATTAAATGTAGCTGCATTGAATGAAGCTCATATTATATGCGTGTGCATAAATCTTATGACATTGGCGGAGATAATGTTAAAGGCGCACAGTGCAAACACACACACACACACATACACACAACACTCTTCAAGAAGTGAACAGAACATACCTTGAAGTCACAGACATAATAATCCTTTCCACTGACAGCTATATCAGATGGTTCACGCATGTAATCGCTGCAGTCAAACCACTTGATCAGTTCACCTGACTCTGAGATGCAGAAAACAGTCGGGGAGACGCTATCAACCGCCACTATGTGCCCTGAAAAAATTAAGCAACTATTTTTAATACACGCACACTGTGGTCTGTTTGTCTGTTGCTGTATTATCTCTTAACAAATACTAAAAGGACTGTAGAATGTTAAAAATTGATGGTGAGGTAAGGAATTAAGGAATGTTATTGCTGTGATTATCTACAAATTAGACAATGTTTGTAAGCTGTATTGCAAGTCTATGCAGTGTTAAAAAAAGACATTAGCAACAAACAGAATAACAAAAAATAATGGTTACACACACACACACACACACACACTCACACACACACACTAAAGTGAGTCGAAATGTAAAAAATATTAAGTTGGAGATCCTGTACATGTCTAAAAAGTTGCTTTTTGATGTACTCATTTGAAAAAACCTCACTTTTTATTTTATGGACAGTGTCTACAGGTCCCAACTCTGACTAGAAAGACTACATAAATACCCAATGTTAGTGTAATGTATTGCAATGTATTACAAATTAAAAAGAATGTAAACTGTAACGAATCAATGTTAAACAGCAACAATACAAAGTTGTTTAACCTAACTGTTAATAAAATTTTTCTTGCTGTCTATTTTTAGTATCTCTAATCTGGATTTCTTACTTTGTAACACCATGCCATGACGGGATTTTCTCCCATAAACTTTACAGCTGACAGCGCTAACGTCTTTAATTGTTCTCTCTACTGCCTGTGAATGACATGGAACATCGGGCAGTAGTATTGGATGTGTGTAAGTAAGTTGATCATTTGAAAGGTGTGAGGAGACGTAACATTACTCTAGTCCCAGTCAATCATGTTAATGAACGATGTCGCAGCCAGATTTAATGTTATATCCTTCTTATCAAAGACGCGAACCGGTATGTTACTATTAGTCTGCTTCTCTCTTGCTCTTATTATTTGTTCTACTGAAAAACGACGAATTTCCACTAACTGTAGCTAAGAGAATGTTTTCAGCATGCGCAAAGTAGCAGTTATTTTCAAGAACAGGACGAACCACAGCCTGATCTAATGCATCAAGTTCCTGAAACAACTGAACTAAGTAAAAAAAGCTGTTAGCACCATTTTGGCAAGAAAAATTTGATTTAATTTTGAACCAAGAGGATCCATAAAAGTTCAAAATGAAATGCGTTACTATTCTGAGAGGTTCAGATGCCACTTCTCTAAACATGTAGAGACGCAAAATCCCGTTGGCTTTCGTCAACCATCGAGCATGACTTATATATCCAGGTAAACTCTTCTCGAGGAAATCAATATCTGTAGAAGCCTGACGTCCACGCTGTACTGCTAGACATGCTTTCAAAAAGTACAGTTGGTCTGTGCTAAGATCCTTCTTGACTCCTTTGTTATACCAGCAGCTTTACTACTTTCAGGAACTACATGATCGATGTATATGTTTCCTGGATACGAGACAATAGTATAGTGTTCTTCACACTATAATATGTTTTAGCCGCTCATAAATAGGCCACATCAAACGTCACATATAAATAACGTTATAAAATTTACTCCATTTCTTTTTTAGCACTTGTAGTTAAGTGCTAAGCCATTTGCCAATGCATTTTAGTCAATGATTTATAGTTGGTACGTATTTAGATTGTACCAAGGAAATGGTTAAAATACACCAAATAAGGTAAGACTTTAATCAAAAGTTGGGACCCCTAAACGTTTCATAAAAAATCTTTAAATATTATTTTCATACTGTACTGATGCCAAGACAACTTTTTGTTCATGTACAGGAAAGATAAAAAAAATTCGACCCACCCTAACACACACACATATTATAAACAGCACATTTTATATATATATATATATATATATATATATATATATATATATATATAAACCAGCTGTAGGTATACAGTTGCAGATACAAACATATACATACCTTGGCTAGTAATGGCCAATCCAGCAACAATATCTATGTATCGAATAGCAATTTTCTTAATAAACTGGCCAGTCCTAGTAAAGAGCTGCATACGTGATCTCTCGCTGCCCCTATCACACACCACATAACGACCGCTCGTTCGAATGACAGCCACCTTCCTTGGATACCACAGCTGGCCTTCTTCCCTTCCTTCAAGTCATGGCATATTAATTATTTTATAATTAATAACTAATTATTTTATAATTAATAATTAATTATGCCATAGTATTTATTACTGACGCTAAATGAATGAGAATTATGGAATGAAAAAGGATAAGGTACAGACCAGGAATGCCAAACTGGTATTTAAATTCTCCTGACTTATCAAAAACTTGAATGCGATGATTGTTCGTGTCGGCCACAACAATGTCCTCATCCATGCCAAGGCAGAAACCATGGGGGGCATTAAACTGACCTTTTCCTGGTCCCAGCTGACCAAACTTTGTTCTGATGATTTAAATTTGTTAATTCCGGTATAGAGTTAATGAGACAACGTAAGATAAGCTAAATAGTCCCCAAAACAAAATTCTCAACGCTGACTGGTTACCTGATCTCCATAGAGTTGGTCTTTCCAGATGACCTTGCTCTGATACTGCTCGGTCCCTGAGCCGGATATGAGGATGGCGGCACTTGAAAGACCCCATTCAAAGGAAGATCTGGAGATAAATGGTTGGAGAATGTGAAGCAATAAAAACTAATTCCATTACTTTAAATCTTTGGGAAAAGTTGAAATACTAATATAAAAGAAAATTTTGAAAAAACAAACAAGGACAATAGGATGAATATACAGCATGCACCTGCAACTTATTTTGTAATCGCTATGACACACGAAAAGAGAGATGATATATACCTACATCCCATTACTTCGTAACACAATAATGCAATAACGTTTGAGTAAGTGTCTGAATTAATTTTTTCACTAATACATCACGGGCAACATGAACACACATATATAAGTAAACATCAATGATCAACCAATAGCAATAATGAAGAAACAAGAGGGCAAACACACACACACACACACACACACACACATAAAATGACGTAAATCTTACTAGGTGGCTGCCCAGGTAAAAGACTGACGCTACCATTGGCACCGTTGACAGGGCTGGTAGACTGCATAGCTCCGAGACTGATAGACTGATGAGGGTTGAGACTACTGAGCAAGGCTGACAGTTCACTAATGGTTGGGGTGGTGCCACCGAGTGGGTTAGGAGTCTGGCTCAGCAGGCTAGCTATGGCTGCAGTTGAGTTAATCGACACAGTTGCTGATAATTGCCAATTTTTTCAATCATTTTAATGCATTGCAGAGAATAAATAAAATCAAAATTAAATAACGCGATGAATAGGATGGTATTTAAGAATTGGAACGTGTATAAATTTTAAACAATGATGAGAACATAGTCACAGTTATCAGAAGAGATCGGCGGTACAACACCTCGCCCACCCAGCGGTAGAGGATTCTGAGGGCCAAGTCCACTTGGTACGTTCCAATTCATCCCTTGAAGCCCTGGCACCACTTGCCCATTCATTGTTAACTGGCCTGTTTTGAACATGCCGCCTTTTATAATCAGTTCAATTATTATTATAAAACACCCCTTAGTGAGGCACGGACTTGCTAATAATTAAATATCATTAATAAATTTAAAAATTTTAACCTTGGGGATTCAATCCGAGATTGCCCATCTTGATTAGCTGCTGCAACTGATGCAAGGTCTGTTGATTACTAGTAGAAGACACATCAACAGATACGCCGCTGTCTGATATGGTGGGACTGTACGAGTTCCTTGACAGACTCCTGTCTGCAAAACTCAATGTCTGACTCAAACTTGAGAGGTTAGAGTTAGGTGGCAAGGAGGTCGCTATGCTAGATGCTAAATCATTGAGGAGAGGCGGAGTCAGGTTGGCTGCCAGACTGCTGAGAAGTTCAGAGGGCAAGTTGAGAGGATTTGAAGAGGGGTCGAGCATCTTGAATCGATCCATTTCAAAAGATGTTGAAGATGATTGCTGTATTGAGTTGTTGTTCGGTATAAGATTGCCAGTGGGTAGGCTGGTGGAGCTACTGTGGTGGCTACCAACCAGTCCATTAGCAGCATGTGCGTGATGGTGATTCAACTGCACATCAAATAATGTTGGCTGTTTTGTTGAAAATAGTTATTTATTTGTAGGTGCATATGTTGCTTAATTTGCTTATGAGTAAGTTGTATTGTATGTATAAGCTACAACGTATGCACAATTTAACTATGTGTGCAATTATACATTGATCTTGTCAATGAGTTTAGTGTAGCTCACATTCAAATTTGAATATAAAATGTAATATTAAAATGAATGGGAAAATAAAATCTGGCATTTTTATTTAACAACTTTTCTTTAATTGCAGAGATGAATATTTGTCAATAACAATAACATGAAAAAATCTTGATAGCAACCTAGCAATGATAGTTCACGAGATAAAACAATAATGCTAATGAACAAACAGAAAAAATAAATAAAATAACCTTGCTATTGAGCACACCACAGGCATTAACAGCAGTCTGGTATGCATTATTACCACTGTCTGGCCTCTTGAAGGCACAAAAAAATTGCCTCGTGGCCTCTGCAAACTTATTAGGATCAGACTCCACTTCAATCTTCACACTCATATCACTACGGGGTACCTCATCATTTAGTAATGCCATCTGCGCACGAACTATTTTACTGACGGCCATCATCTCGACTGCATCTGCGTGCTCCACTAATCTTTCCATGAACTTGCAAGCATCCTCCATCTTGTCAACAGTTTTTCCCAGATTGTGGAACATCTCCATGACGGTCAGTTCCTTTTCAGAGTGGATGTCCTCTAGCTCCTTTATCAGGTCATCCTAGATAACATGGTGGTCGTGATGGGTGATTTTGTAATGGTGTCATCCAGATTTCATGATCACATAAGTAACATCATATACAGTGATATCTCAATTAAAGCAAAAAGCTCTCATATTTTGCAAGAAAAGCAAGCACAACATTAAAAGAGGATGATAATATATGGGCAAATTAACTTTTGTAACAGGAAGCATCAATAATATCACCTTAACAATCCTACAATTACTTTTGCTGCAACATGATTACTAAACAAACTATAGTCAATTACTCCATCAAATACACAAAAGTGAAAGCATATTAGGAGAATCAACAACATGAGTAGCAACAGCGACTAATAAGACAGATAATTATGAAACTGCAATATTTTAAATGATAATAAGTGCTGGCTATAAACAAAAAACAATTTTGTAGAAACAACCTAACCTTTCTCTTTTCAAGTGTTGCTTTGAAACTCTGAAAAGTTTCCTTAATCAAATCATGGGCATTGTCCCTCTGCTGTTGCAAATCAGACAAGAGGGATTCTAACTTTCCAGAAGTGTCTTCAAAAGCTGACATCTTTGATTTTGTTTCAGTCACAATGGCCTTCAACTCTGCTCTTTGGTCCCGATCAATGTCAACAATTCTTTCACAATGATGGTCTGGCTGCTTGTGAAGATACAGCATGCATTCTGCACAGGTCAGGACCTAGAAATATTAAATTTTTTAATTAACACCAGCATCATACCTGATCTGAAAAACGTTGTGTGCACAACTTTATCTCTTATGTCTTGCCATCTAGAGACAAAGTCTGTCTTAAATTAGTATAATTTTTATCAGATTCACAAATCAGAAAACTTAGACTAGTTAAATCTATTAAAAAAAACCATATTGCACACAAACCTGACAAGTTCTGCAATAGAACTTGAAGTGTTCAGTGGGATGCACAATGCAATACATAGGCTTGTGGATGCCCTTGCCATTTTTCAATTCATCAAATGTCTCTACCTGTTTTGTTTCCAAATTTTTAATTGAAAATGATGGCAATAAACAACAACAAAATATCAATGATAAATATATAAATAAACACATCTGCAACAATATAAAACAAAAAATTAATTAAAATGTAAACCAAAAAGATGCAAATCTCACCTTATGGCTATCGAAAACACGCATATAATTATGAGCTGTAACACAATTGGAGCAAAGAAAATTTGAACAGTCGCTGCACCGAGCTACAGCATTTTCTTGGGCTTTGCAGCTTGTGCAAATAACTTGCATGGAACAAATTGCTTCCATCTCCATCATGTTCACAATTACTGCATCAATTGGCAATTCACCAACACCACCTGCCATTGTCAATCTTGTGATCTGCTTACAAGTATGGCACACCAATTGGGTACGACCACTTTCTTCCAGAGATTTTTCTAGACAAGCTTCACAGAAAGCATGCAAACAATGAAGAACTTTTGGAACTTTAAACTTCCCATTGCAAATGCCACAAATAAATTTGTCCTCTGATGAACTGCTAGAATCTTCGCCCTCTAATGCTAATCCATTTGATAGCGTATCAGGAGTAGGGTCTCTGGACGCTTTTTTATGAATTTCACCGTTACTTTCCATAACCTTAATGAAAATAAATCACATTGCAATTTTAATCAGGCCATCCATTAAAAATCTCATCTTATGATCGACAGAATTTAAAATTAATTACGCCTCATCTAATTAACACCCGTCATTCTGCTAAAAGCGATTGCAAGAAATTGAAAATTAAGCGTTTTTGAAAATAAAATAAATGAAATAAAAAATGAATACTAACAATTCGGTTTTCAAAAAATGCTAAGCAAGGATTTTATAATAAAAACTCTTTAGAAAAAAACCGTTGTAAAAATCACCATGTTAAATACGGAGAATAACGTTGACGCTAGAAAAGGGATGTCATTAACTAGCGCGGAATAATTGGCAAAAAATTAATTTTTTTGTAAGACGTCAAATCACAATGCAATGGAATGAGCAAAATAGACGCGAGTGAAACATACGTAAATATGAAAAACAAAATGAATCAGACGATAAAATGAATCAAATTACCAAACAGTTAACACTAACGAATCGGAGCACGTGCCTATTGTAAAAAAAACGGATGCTAATCAAACACAGATTGGAGATTGGAGATGGAAAAAGAAATGTGCGAATAAAATACGCTTCACTCGTATTCAGAAATAAATCCTCACCTTAGCAAATATTTTAAATTTTGTGACATATAGAAACAAGTTTAATACTTTGGATTAGACTCACATCAAGTTTAAATGCATACAAACACTCAATGTTTCCTTATTCTGATCCTGTATCCTCCAGTTGAAGTTACCGTTTTCCGGCTAATACGTACTTCCACGATTTTTTACCTACACTGACTTCTTATTAAACATAAGATAATTTTTTTACATTAGTTATTCTCCAATTTATTCTAAATATTAGTGAAACAAATCTGATCAAGCAGCACGTAATCGTCTTCTTGTATTCGTTCATTTTAACTTTTCAACCAATATTGTTTTGTTTCGGGTCATACAAAACGGCTTCCTGAAACTTTTGAAACGAACTTTTACTAATCTGGCAAATATACAAATATGGCATCGTCCACTTTGAATAGGATTTTTTTCTTTATGTAATATCAACCAAATTCTGTCAAAATCTTAATTTTATCTTTCATTCTACATATTGGCATAGCAAAATCAGCAGCGAAGCATGTGACATTTCCAAAGTTAAACGCGACATCACATAGGGAATTTTTTACATGAATTCGTTCCATTCTTTTGGCATCAGTGAAATCTCTTTGAAATACAATATCAAATTCTAATTTGAAAAAAAAACATAAAAGAAATTTTGAAGACCTTTTTCCAAGCAAATTTTTACCGTAAATTTATGAAAAGTTAGAACATTAAAGAAATTCAACTAGCGTTTTTTAACCATTTGCGGAGACCATACAATCTATTTTTGAGTTTTATTTTAAAAATTAGCTGCAAAGCTGCAAAATCCACACAAAATAAAATTAAAAGTAAAGAAAAACGTGTACATAACGTGAAAAAAGTGTATCGTAATAATACCTATAACGTATAATATACATGAAAAATATTACAGAACCCTTTGAAACAAAATCCCGCCGACAAAAACCTGCACGTTTCGTCATAAGAAAAACATATAAATCTGAAATATATATATATATATATATATATATATATATATATATTTATAATCAATTCAGTTAATTAACGATTCATGCGTAATTAATTTACATATAATTTCCAATTAATTAACTGAAACTTGATCTGGAATTTAGAGTCAAATCGATGGATTAATTGATTTTATTAGTGAATTAACTATATTAACAATTAATGATCTAATTCCGGAAGGAGAAAATTATCTAAATAATAAATTAAGCGACAAAAAACTACTTGAAAATTTGAAATAAATTTTCTTTAAAGAATTTTAACTTTATAAAACAAACAAATAAATCGATAAAATTAATTAAAATAATAATTATATTAATTATTAATAATAATTCTCAATATACATACAAATACAATCAAAAAATGACTAAAAAAATGATTGAATCAAAATTGTCCATTTTATCCTTTACTTTTCACACACACACAAACACACACACACACGCACGCACACACACACAGATATATATATATATACATATATATATACATATATATATATATATATATATATATATATATATACACACACACACATTCATACATATCTATATAGCGCCAAAAATATACAAAAATAAATTAATTTTTCATAATGTTATACTACTAACAGTATAAGATAGATACTTTATCCTATATATATATATATATATATATATATATATATATCATGCTTTATATAGGTGTATATATATGCAACACCGCTCTATATAACAATAGCCAACAAATGCGTGCAAAGTCTATTTAATCTTGTTGGAACGGAAGATTTGCAACAATAAATAATAACCGTACTATTAGTAGTAATTTAGGAATTGCTATAAAATAATATTAATAATACTAACAATTACTTTCGTATTGCGCTTTAGTAATTAATTATCTAAGAGAGAGAACTAGCAGGAAATAAAACGGGGATTTATAAGCGGAGAGAATAATTAAATTTAATTAAATTAAAATTAAAATTAAACAGACATCTTAATGGGCTATTCAATTATAAACTTAATTAAAAAATTAATTAAGAGAGTAATTAACTGAAATAATAAGTTTTAGCGTATTTATATATATATATAAATATATAAATCGAAGTTTGATAGTAAACTTTTATATTCATTTCAAAAACCGGAGGAAAAAATTTTTTTTCGTCATTTTGAAAAAATTCATTGCAACGAATCACATAACAAATTCACACTTAACAAATAGGTATAGAAAAAATTAATAATAATAAATACATAATAATAATAAAATTCTGTCCAAGGCTGTAAGAAACGATCATGATGATGCCGTAGCATTTTAATAATTTATTGATTCATTCATTTGTCTACTGAAAAATAATTTAAAAAAAGGAATAATAATAAAATTAGGAATAAGTTAAGTGAAACATTAAACAAATGATCTCAATTAAACGCAATTAACGAGGATAAATAATAAAAAGAGACAGTTTAATGATAATTTAACAACCAGAAAAGTACAAATATTTACTTTGTGTGGATGTGCGTGTGCATGTGTGTATCAGTGCGTGCGTGTGTTTCACCGAAGCAAGGTCTTTTTATATTTATAATTTTAGGCGAAAATCATGATATTCAATAATACAATTCCAACGATAACAATGACAACAAAATGAATGCTACAAATGAACTCTAAACCAAATGTGTAATCGAATGTGGGGGAGTGAACTAACTACAAACTATACAAAACAACCAATGCCTAGCTACGTATTATTGGTTGTTGATCTGTCAATCAATCAATAAATCAATCAACCAACCAACAACCAGGCAACCAATTAACCAAACAACCAAACAACTAACAGACCAATTAACGAATCAAGTGCAGTAAAATATATATATATATATATACATACTTACAAATAATTTTCTTTAGATATATACAAATTTAAGTGTATGTGTATATATATATATATATATATATATATATATATATATATATATATGTATGTATATACATATCTATGTGTGCCAATTAGCTAACATTAATCAAGTCATAATAATAATAATAAAATTTACCACAATAAATAAATAACAAAAAAATAATAATAATGATAGTAGTAGTAGTGATAAGCACAATTTAAAATCTAACAATTTTCATAATAGAAAAAACATAAGTCACAATCAAGTTTTATTTGTATATACGGTATGCATCCATGCTACATGATGATGATGATAATAACAAATCTATTAACAATATAATTTTATATCTTACATGGATATATACCATGAACTTTATATATATATATATATATATATATATATATATATATATATATATATATACACGCGTGTGCAGCGAATGCATGCCTGTACATAAATGTGTGCATGTGCATATACACATGCTATACACACATAAGCAAACACGCACACACACACCAGACACAGACACACACACACACAAATGTTTATATATATGCATGTATATATGCAATGTACGTTATTTACTTGAATTTTTCATTGAGGCACATCAATCACTAATTCCGGAAAATCGTCATCGGAATTGTCAAACATTGGTGATTTGTCGGGCGACGATGGTGGAGGCGGTAGGGGGGGTTTCCTCGTGGGGATGGTGCCGGCGGTGGTCTGTGGTGGTGGCAAAACGGTGCTTCCATGTGCGGTTGACACAGACGATGATGCGAATGGTTGTATAGGTGGTAATGGTATATGTGATAATGAGGGCGATAGTGTACTGCTACTGGCTCCTGGTAGCAGTGGAATTGGAGTCGGTAATGTGGTGTCGGCCGTCATCCTTGATGACGAAGATGAAGAGGGTGAGGACTGGAGAGCCGATGACGACCTGCCTGCTGTAGATAATGAAGATGCCGTTGGAGATAAGATGGGGTTGTACTTTGGAGAGCCCAACGGGGATGGAAGTGTAATCTTTAGAGGGGGTTTTGATTTGATGACGTCATTATTGTTGTCATTAAGATCGTCTTCGTCATCATCTTTACTTTGCTTCTTCTTTTTCTTCTTTGGTCTCTTTGTTTTCTCAGCAATGACCCCATCATCACTGTCACTTAACTTCCTCTTACGACTTGATTTTGCCTTCTTTTTCTTCTTGCTAGCGTCATCGTCGCCATTATCGTCCTCAGTTTTATGTTCTTCACTTCTCTTCTTCCTCTTCTTTTTCTTTATGTTTATCACCAACTTATCATCATCACCTTTGTCATCAAGTTTTCTTTTCTTCGCTCCTTTCTTCCCGCTCTCCTTCTTTACGGCACCATCCTTTTTACTGCTTCCATCTGAAAATATACTATCATCATCTTTATCATCATCATCATCATTGTCATCATCGGTTTTATTTCTGGCACAGGCTCGAGTTGAATTTTTGGCGATTTTTTTGTTTGATTTTGACTTACTGGATTTTTCGGGCAATTCTTTCTTAGCTTTCTTCTTATTCTCATGTTTTTCACTTTCTTTATCATCGTCATTGACATTGATGGTAAGCTTTTTATCATCGCCATCACTTTCAGAATCATTAACTAGTGGAGCTGCTAGTTTGCTAAATTTCTTATCACCAGCATCAATGTCATCATCGTCGTCGTCATCATCATCATCAGCGGTGACGTCATCGTCCACGTGACTTTTGAAAAATTTTTGATTGGCTGCGGTTGCTGCCTGCTTAGACCTGGATGGGAGAATTCTCTTCTCAAATGATTCGCTCCTGAAAATTTGTTC